TTTCTATACCTAGAATCTTCTTAGCAGCACCAAGATCCTTCATCTCAAACTCACTACTCAACAGTTTCTTCAACGTAGTGATTTCTTTCTTGCTCTTGACAACAATCAACATATCATCAACATATAACAACAAATATATAGGTGATCCATCAACAAATTTAATGTACACACAGCTATCAAATTCAGACCTCTTAAAATCATGTGACATTATAAAAGAATCAAACATTTTATATCATTGACGAGGAGACTGTTTCAAACCATATAAGGACCTCTTTAATTTGCAAACATGATCCTCCTTACCAGGTACTATGAACCCTTCTGGCTGGTCCATGTATATCTTCTCCTCGAGCTCTCCATGTAGAAACACAGTCTTTACATCTAACTGCTCAAGCTCAAGATCTCGCATAGCAACAATACCGAAAAATATACAAATTGAACTATGCTTTACAACTGAAGAGAACACATCATTATAATCAACGCCAGGAATCTGACTGAAACCTTTTGTAACTAACCTTTCCTTAAATCTTGGAGGCTCACTAGGAGACAAACTTTCTTTTCTTTTGAAGATCCATTTGCAACGAACGGCCTTCTTGTGTTTAGGCAAGCGCACAACATCCCATGTGCCATTTTTCTCAAGTGACTGCATCTCTTCTTGCATAGCGGAAATCCACTTCTCGAGGTCACCAGAAACAACAGCTTCAGTGTATGTAGCCGGCTCATGAATGTTCTCCACCTGTTCAGCACAACTAAAGGCATAATGAACAATATCACATTCCTCAATTAAACGTGAATGAAGTCCACAATTCCTCTTTGTTTTGCGATCTGCAATAGACTGATTTTGAGGCTGTAAAACAGGAGGTGAGTGCTGAACAATATCATGAACATTATTATCAACAATTTCAGTTTCCTGATCATCTACGTGCTCCACCTGCACGCTAACATGTTCCTGCTCCTCATCAGAACCAACTGGTGAAACATCTGTGGACAAGCTATCATTAAACATAACAGATTCATTGAAAACAACGCTCCTGCTCATAAAAGTCTTTTTAGTTTCAGGATTCCATAACTTATATCCTTTAACTCCAGAACCATAACTAAGAAACAGACACTTAATGGCTCTAGGTTCTAGCTTTACATTATCAACATGAGCATAAGCAGTGCAACCGAAAACTCTCAACTGTGAATAATCGGCAGGCATACCAGACCATACCTCAATGGGGGTTTTCTTATTAAGTGGGATAGAAGATGATCGGTTGATCAAGTAACAGGCAGTGTTAGCAGCCTCAGCCCAAAAACGCCTGTTCATACGAGCATTGGACAGCATGCAATGAGCCCTCGCAATGATGGTTCGGTTCATGCACTTAGCCACACCATTCTGCTGAGGAGTGTACGGGATGGTGTGATGCCTAACAATGCCTTCTTCCCTGCAGTAATCATTAAAAGCATCCGAACAGAATTCACCGCCACTGTTAGTACAAAGCAATTTTACCTTCTTTTCAGTTTGACTTTCTATCATAACTTTCACTCTTTAAAAGTAGCAAAAGTATCATCTTTATTTTTTAGAAAATAAGGCCACACTTTTCTAGAGTAATCATCAATAATGGTAAGCATGTAACGAGCACCACCATAAGAAGGCTTATGAGACGGCCCCCACAAATCAGCATGTACATAATCAAGTGTACCTTTGGTGGTATGAATAGATGCATTAAATTTTATCCTTTTGTGCTTACCAAAAACACAGTGCTCACAGAACTTCATCTTACCCAAGTGCAGCCATCCAGCAGGTCTCTCTTAATCAATTCTGCCATACCAAGTTCATTCATATGCCCAAGACGCATATGCCAGAGATTAGTTTTACTTGGTTCATCATTAGAAACAGTAGCAGCAATGACAGAACCATGTAAAGTACTTCCTCTAAGAGCATATAACTTTGCATAATTCATATCACCTATCATATGAACGAGAGAGCCTTTTGATACCTTACACACTCCACCTGAACCGGAGTGTCTGTACCCCCTCAGCATCAAGTGTGCTGAGGGAGACAAGATTTCTGGCCATCCCTGGTATGTGTCTCACATCTTTCAGTGTGCGTATCATACCATCATGCATCTTGATCTGAATGGAGCCAATGCCCACGATCTCACGTGGGTTGTTATCTCCCATACGTACGACATCTCCACTCTGCACAGACTCGTAAGAACTGAACCAATCTCTGTTAGAGCATATATGAAACGAGCATGCAAAATCAAGTATCCATTCATCACGACCAGCAACACAACCAGCAAAGACAACAAGAATGTCTCCTGAATCAGAAGTATCAACAGCGGAGACAACAGAGGCATTACCATCACCATCGGATTTATTTTTTGGTTTATAGGTACCGTTTCTTTTCTCCTTATTCTGCAGCTTCCAACAATCCTCAATGACATGAGTATCTTTCTTCCAATGCCTGTAGAACTTATCCCTGCCTCTGGACTTGGAACGGCCTTTACCGTTCTTGCTCTTTGTCTCGATTATTGTTGTTGTTGTAGGTTTTCTGCTCGGGCCTGCCTCTAACCTGCAACACTTCGCCCTTGGAGGACGACATGTCAGACTGAACCATACCTTTCATCTTCTCCCTCGTCTAGAGGGCCTCATATACTTCCGCAAGGGTTAGTTCATCACGGCTTAATAGTATGGTATCTCAGAAATTTGCAAACGAAGTAGGCAATGAGCATAACAGTAGAAGAGCTAAATCTTCATCATCATATTTTACCTCCATCGACACTAGGTTGGCAACGATCTCCTTAAAGATCGATAAGTGGTTCATCACCGAACCACCTTCTTGCAGCTTGTGCGTAAACAACTTCATCTTCACGTGCATCTTACTGGTTAGATCCTTGGACATGCAGATCGATTCTAGCTTGAGCCAAAGTTCTGCGGCAGTTTTCTCTTGCAGCACTTCTTGCAAAATATCATTATGTAGATGAAGTTGAATTAGAGACAGGGCCTTATGATCCTTCCGCTTCTCTTCAGCGGTCCATGACTTCTACCCATTTCCTCCGAAACCATCCAACGCCTCATCAAGATCCGAAGATTATGCCAGAATCGCCCGCATCTTGACTTGACACAGTGCAAATCTCGTCTTGTAATCCAGCAGCGGTAGATCAAACGTCATCGATGCCATCGCGAAACCCTAAGGTCAAACCAAGCTTTGGTACCACTTGTTAGAAACGATAGGCAATATGAACGACGAAGAACAGTAGATCAAACACAGGGGACATAAGATTTTAACGTGGAAAACCCTCCCAAGGTGGAAGGAAAAAACCACGGGCATCAGCCAGCAAATCTTCACTATATCGGGTGAGGTTACAAACGTCGGAGATTTACAACTTGGGGATACCCTAACCTGGGGGCCTTCTCGTATAAAAGTCTATGATACATCTTTTTCCATGAGGGAGGTGGTCCGTATATATAGGGAGGAAAAACCCCACACCCTCGTCTATTAGCAATACGGAACTAATAGATGGTGTAGTCCCTCTTAACGCTAATGGGCTGCTTTGCTTCGGCCCAAGCTTGAATTTGGATCATAGCTCAACACTATGCAGTTCTCCTATATGTCTCATTTAGCGCCTAAAAGAGCCTTCACGTTAGTTCTCATGAGATGCAATAGGAGAAATGTGAATCCTACAAATTCTCACAAAATTTAGAAACATCTAGCCAGCTAAACTATGATAATCATTGACAATAATAGACATTGGATCTATTCTCCTTTATAAAAAAATACCTTGCATTTGTTATTATGAAGAATCAAACAAAGTAAACCCCCTCCTCCACCCCTAAACTTTTTTAAGGGATGGGGTTATAATAACCTTATGGGAGAATATAAAATAATAAAAAATCTTAACAAGAGGGACTTCATGACCTAGAGTAGTTAGAAGAGGATGGCCCTTTGAGTAGTGATATTATGGAAAGAGAGGTGAACCAACAAGTTGGGTTGATGAAAATTTTGGAGGACAAGTCAGTTGTATTGGTTTAGGAGAATCAATGAAACATGTCATTTGAAAGGACACATAGCAATGCAGAATCCTTCCATAGAGTAGCTAGCTAATGGGGAAAAAAAAGAAACAACATTATCTGCCTGTATAATTGACGAGGATGAAAATTTGTTGGAACATGGCTGATGGAAAATTCAGGTTAGTATGATTATAACAAATTGGCAAGGGAGTCCAATGTGTGTTACTTTTGCAGCAAATATGATAGTATAGACTACTTATCCTTTGATTGTCCGGTGAGTAGATCCCAGTTTCAAATGTTACTGCTTTCTTGCTAGGTCAATATAATGTTGGTTGTGGATTGGGGGTTTATTTGTGTGTGTGGTGGCAAACTTTATCTACCACAATCTAGACGTGCTTCGAGAATCAAGATTCATGTGTTAGGCCCACTCAGCTCCCTCTCCTAACCACTTAGCTGCTCTACAAATAAACCACTTGGGTAAAACAAATAGATGATTTTTCATTAAGAATTCAAGAAAATATGTACCTAAACTTGAACTGAATATAGAACTCAAACATTAGTGTTTAGATTTATGCATGATCGTGTTTCAATCCCCAACCAATTGAGTTAGGCTTACCTTTGGACCACTCAGATTCACTTGGCACTGAACAATTTTAGCCCGTTTGGCCGTTGGGTATATATAGTGTGCTACGGCACACAAAAGTGGAAAAATATATAATCTGTACTACGTATATAGGTAGCCGGGAAAGCATTGTGACGAATATAGTTGCATTCTTCTGGTTGGCTACCATGCTATGTTATACATAGACAAGACAGACACACACACAAATGGATGGATTTTTTTTTTTTTTTGAGCGGACCATCCTAGCCTGTAAACTACTGCTGTCTGCTGTGTTATGTAGGAGTAGGAGTAGTACACAGCAGCTTGGCAGCCAGACGTTGAATCATTCAGATGGAATCCGGCCTCTGCTCGAATGGATCCTCTAGCTAGCTTGTCTTCAGGTTCAGGGTGGTGCGGAGCGGCATCTGTGGAGAGTGGAGCTGTAGTGTGCAGGGACCTGCGCTGACGACGACGTGGCCAGACGAACCTGCAGCATCCAGGTAGCAAACAAAACAAAACACCATGGATACATTGGAGCCAGCGATGGTCTCATGGATGGAATGATGCATACGAACGCGTGCATACACTGAGCTCCTGGTGGCGCTTGATGAGCATCTCGTTCTCCCGGCGCAGCTGCTCCAGCTCCAGCTCCAGCTCGTTGGTGTAGGCCTGCCTCCGGGCACGCGACCTGGCCGCCGACTCACGGTTCTTGATCATGCGCCGCTGCCGCCTGCTATCTCCAGCGGCGGCGGCGGAGCTGCTGCTCTGCTTCATGATGGTCTGGTACCGGTACTGATACTGATCGGCCGGCGCGAAGGAGAAGGCCATCAGGTCGCGGGAGTCGTCGCCGGAGGTGGAGGACCCGCCGCCACCTCCTGCCCCTGCCCCACCGAGGTAGGTGAACTCGAGGGTGGAGCTCAGGCTCAGCGTCGTGGGCGGAGGTGGCGTGGGGGGCTGCAGCGGCGACGAGAAAGAGGGCGGTGAATGGGAGGCACCAGCACCAGAAGGCGACAGATGCTGGTGGTGACGGTGGTTGTACAGTGCGCCGCCGCCGCCGCCGGCGGCGGCGGCGGCGGGTGTGATACTGATAAGGGATGGCTGTAGGGACATGTAGTCCTTCCACACCTCCTCCATGGCAGGCAGGCAGAATGGCTAGCTAGTCAGCAGATGACACCGCTACACTACTTACTGTGCTGGTGTGGGTGGGCGGTGAACTCCTCTCCTATTATATACCGGCCAGTAGTGTAGTGCATCCTCAGTCTCTCTCTCACACTCGCACTCACATACGTGTGGGGTGCGAAGCTGCCCTGCCCTTGAGGGAGCCGACTAGCCGAGAGAACACTCCTATACGTGTGAAGTTGTGAACAGCAGTTTGCTACTAGCCTACTAGCACACATGGACATAGGTACGTAGTAGCATACGGTCGACAGCACAACAAAAAAGCTGGAGTATCTTGTGTTACAGCTGGAAAAAAATCCTAGCTTGATCAAATCCAATATATAAACATATAAAAATATCCTAGCATGATCAAATTCTCCAATAGACATTAGTCTAAAGCTTAATATAAGTCAATAATCCTTATTGTCTAATTAAGCCTATAACTTCAACTTAATTTGCTGGCGAAAACTCTTCCTTCGGTCCATTCCTATACAAACCCAACAGCTCATATTAAAATAATACAAAAGACAACTATGCAAATTAACCTAGTGACACGTGCATCGTACACAAACCTTATACTCCGTCCGTCCACAAAAGAATATAACTATGGTATCCATATCCATTAAAATAGTTCAAGTTTGATTAAATTTATAGTGAATAGTATTCACATTTATGTCTATGAAACGGTTTAATTATGAAAATATATTTTATAATTAAACTAATGAATTTATTTTGTATCATAAATGTTAGTATTTTTCATATAATTTAGTCAAATTTAAAAGCATTTGGTTTCCCAAAAATCAAGAATTGCATCTTTTTGGATGGAGGGAGTAAGTACAAAAACCTATGACCAAGGTTGCGAACTTGTCAAACAACAGGGGATTGTGGGGTAACGTTTGGCATTAGCTGCACACGCAAAAAAAGCAGCCTCGCCTCCGCCCCCTCCCCCAGGGGCGACTCCGCCGCTGCCACCTTCTTCGGCCCCCGTTCCCCTCGCCTCCGGCCTCCCTGCCGGTGGTGAGGAGAAGCGGGGGTCCATCCTTTAGCAAATCTACTGTTTTCTTAGGTTTTTCTCCTTTTATTTTTCTTTCCTCCATAATAATTTCGGCTAGGTTTTGGTTGGCCGTTTCGATGTTTTCGATCCGGCTTTCTATTTCATACTGGGTCGCTAGTGGATGCGTCATCGTCTTCGGTGATGGCATGCTCTTCCTGGAGAGATCGAGGTATGTTGGCATAGTCCTTCTCGAGGAGGGATTGGATCTATTTTTCCCCTTCTACGGGATCGTCTTTCCGGCCGCCGGTGATGCTACTGGCGGCAGCGGATCTGCCCTTTCGGTTCCTGGTGGTGATGCTAGCAACGTCGGATCTTATGTTCGGTTCAACCTTCAGAAGATATGGCCAATGTGCTCTCGGCGTCCTTTACTCCCCATAGTGGTTGAGCTTACCGTGCCTCTTTTGCCGTCTCCATGTTCGTGGAGTCTTCTGTTGGTAGGGACTATGGTTCTCGGGTCTAGATCTGGTGTACTTCCATGGTCGCGATGGAGCCTCCTGAAGGGATGTACGCCGCCGGACGCAAGGAAGATGAAGTATAGGGACCTAGTGATGTGCTTCAATATAATTTTATTTTATGTTGAGGTCGTAATTGTAAAAGGGGTTTTAATTTAATGGAATCCAATCCCTTTCTCAAAACAAAAAAAACAAAAAGAAAAAAGAGGTTGCGAACTTGTCGTGATGCGCGGCCTGTGATGACAGCCAACTCAAGCTAAGTATTCGATCCTAAACGGATGACACTCGGCGAACCACAAACACAATCATCAGGCTTTGTCTTATTTGTTATGATCTAATAGTAATATTTTTTTTAGTAATAATAGTAGTATTGGTGGAGTCCTAACTGACTAGCCGGACAAGCATAGGAGTTAATCGGACCCACATGTCATTAGGCGGAAGGGACAGCATACAGAACAAATGGTCCTGTTTTTAATATTGTCAGTTGTCACAATGACAGTGCAAAAGGTGCACTACAGTCTCTAAACTTGTGGTTGTATATTTATCTATGTGCGCCCAATGTGTATGCGGGCCTTTTTAATGGAGTTCTCCCATGTAGCCATGACAACCCCATAGGTCCAAAATCGAAGGAGTACATTCGATTGAAGGTTTTTTCTACGGTTCCGTTCGGCTTGCTGAAACTTAACTAAAATTGGTTGAAAAACACTATTCTGGCTGAAATATTGTGAGAGAAAAATACTATTTCGGTTGAAAAAAGAAGTCGAATAAGCCGGATTTAAGGTAAACCGAACGGGCCTACCTTGAGTACTTTTTTATATTTGTTCTCAAAATGAGATGTATATTACTCCTTCCATCCATAAAGCATGCAACTATGTATATGGACATATGAACACGTGCCCCTCCTATCGAACAAAAAGATAGATGGATTGTTGGATGGATGGAGAGCTTAGAGGTGGGGATAATTAGCTGAGGATAAAAAACTGAACCAAAATACCTGAGACTGAAACCAAACTACCCAAAACCAAAAAGTTTAGGCACAATTCAGTGTGCTTCAGTTTTGAGCATATATAACTAAAGTAACTGAGTTAGACAAAATAGTATGGACGCATAATAAGAAAATAGAACCTAGACCAATATATGTCATTCCTTCTCATCGCCCTGGCAGCTAGCTCTCTGCCTCTCTCTTTCTCTCTCACAATGCCACTAGCTGAGTGGGGGAAGGCGCTTGAGCGGGCCAAAGATGGGGACGGGGCATAGATAACCCATCGACCTCCACTGGGTTAGCATGGCTATGGCGGAGACTACGGGGCGTCGCCAAAGTTGGGCCAGAGAGGCAGTGGCAGCGGGGGAGCTCGGTCAGACATGAAGAAGACGGTAAGGAGGTGGCAACGGATCCGATGGCACGGGAGCCGTTGGAGCCGGGCAGGGAGGCGAAGGCGGTGGGGTCAGGTGCGAGTGCGTAGAGGAAGAAGATCATGTGGAGAGAGATTTGATCTGTGCCCTCCATTTTATACCTGATGGTAAAAAAACCAAGTGATGGTTGCGCTTGGAACACTTGATTGTTAAAAATTCTAGTAACCATTCATTTTCCACAATTCATTTTTGTCAAATAGTTTAGAACATTCCATTAATAAGGGGGTGGAAGGGATACATATTTGTTAGGCCAGTCTCAATGGGAGGTTTCATTCCATTGTTCCCAAAACATGGCAACATGCTAACCGTGAATGAAAAAGGCTCTCTCAGTACACACTTTCATCTCACTATTTCATAGGATACTTACAACATTTAATTTCTGTAAGGTGTTGTGATCCGTTGTATCATGTGAACTATGTAGCTATTTTTATATTTTTTTTTAAAAAAATTAACACATTAGAATATTACACTTTCACACATATTATATTATATATATTATTGTCATATTTATCGACATCCAAAATATTACACTTTACACAACATATTATATTATATGGTGTATTTTTTCTTGTATTCGTCGACATGTAGCCTATAGAGACAAAATGAACAAATGCAAAAAGAAAAAAACCAGAGAAATGGAGAGAAGAGGAGCAGGTTGGCCATGGATATTTGACGGAATAGAGAAACATGAAGGGGAGCAGGTGGGCCATAGAGATTTAACGCAAGGGGAAAATGAGATTTGACGCGATGGCTTCTTCGTGAGCGTGCCAGCATTGCCACATATGGGCACAGCAGATCCGATGACACGAAACAAACCGGCTCAGTGCAAGTTTCGTATGTTTTCCAACGCGTGGGAAATAACGCTAGCTATGCCAGGAAACTCCAAACCTCTTTCTCTTCCTCGATATATACATGCAAAACAGTACTTTTTTTCATGTCCATAAAACTCTTGTTACAACCCATTGAGACTGGCCTTATGCTAGCCTGAGCCTAACTAGGAGGGTGCAGCATTAGGATCCTGTTTGATTTTTATGACTAAAATTTAGCTACTAAAATCAATGACTAAACTTTAATCATTCATATTTGGTTCTAGTGACTAAAAGCCATTAAAGAAGTTCAACCAAGACCAAACTATCCCTAATGAATGTACAAATCAGGGTTGGGGGCCAGCAATAATGAGGGGCATCCACTGGGTACTTTAACCCACTTTAGCACCTCCTTAGGTACTAAATGCGACTAAACTACTTTAGTCCCCTCTTAGTTAGTTTATTTGGTAGTTTAGTAGCTAAAGTGACTAAAGTTTAGTAGCAGGGGAAACTCAACCTGGGCATTCGGTTAATCGAAATCGTTCGATCGGTTCCTCGGTTACTTAGGAAATTCGGTTCTATCAAAACTAGGGACCGATCGGTTCTCTCTAAAAATTCGGTTCGGTTCCGGTTATAACTGAACTAACCCGTTTACATGTTCACCAAGCCAAGAAAAAAGTCATCGCTGTGCGCCTCTCTGCACCTCGCCACGCGCGTTGCTCCGGGTAGGGGAGCCACCGTCGGCGCCTCGGCCTCGCTCAAGCTGGGCGCCTGTAACATCCCGGTGTTACGATCTTATTTAGCACCGTGATTTAGGTCTAAGTAAAACTTTCGAAACGAGTTTCTCGAATTTTTGATTTAAAACATACTTGAAGCGATAAGCGAATCCTATGTGACTTAGTTTCGTGGACTCAATTAAGCGCTCAAGTTAAATTACGCAGTGCGTAGAAATATTTAGCAATGTTGAACGACAATTCTGGCCAATCGATAGCAAACGGTTCGTTCTATTAGATTAAGCCTGAAAATCAACATTTATATATATATAGCTTTTGAATCAAATTTAAAATCGAGCTTTGCTGAAATTTTCCTGTGCCTAAACGTTGTAAATTATCTAAATTAGTAAACCGTTAAAGATATATATATATATATATATATATATATATATATATATATACGTTACGACGGTACTCTAAAACAAAGAATTAGAAGAAAGGGCAAACGTATACCTGTAACGATGGACTATACAAGTTG